GGGCCTGTGTCCCTCACTGTGACAGCTAACCTAGACTGTTAGTGTGATCAGCTTGAGAACCACGGGTGCTTAGAAAAGCACACATCTGGGTGCATCTGGCTGGGACCCCTCTCTGGTTCCTGGCCCCTTCCTTCCCACACCCTCTTTCCCTGCCTCCAAGAGCTTCATTCCATCAGGCCCTTTGGCCATGACGTTCCCGCCTTGGAGCTGCCAACCACGGACTGAATCCCCTGGAACCACCCGCCACATTAGACCTATGAGTCTCGAGTGTGACGTATTGTGTCCCAGCAATGGGAAACAGAAAAATACATTCATCCTGCTTTGTCTCATCCCACGGTTATCACATCATCCCTTATCATCATTATAAGAAGGATAGGCTTGACAAGAGAAAGAGAGAGAGAGAGAGAGAGAGAGAGGGAGGGAGAAAGAGAGAGAGAAAGAGAGAGAGAGAGACACACACATCCCTGTAGTTTATTACAATGTGCTGTCATGGTTTTCCATTTCAGCGTAAGTCATTGATGTCAAACCTCTTACCACGCCCAGTGTACAAAGTAAACTTTATCACAGGGATGTGTACATGGGGAGAAACACAGCACCCAGAGATTTTAGCCCTATTCTAGGTTTCAGGCTCCAAGGAGATCTCAGAATATATCCTGCAGAGAAGGGGGCTGCGGTAATGTTAATAGTTGGGAGAACGAGATCCAGTGCTTTAGAAAAAAAGACCATCCGTGCAGAGAGGCAGCTCATCCTGAAATTGTCTGGGACCATCTGGAACCTGCGCTCAGAGTGGGAAGCGGGGGTCATCTGCCCCATGCCCCTGTGGCCCCGGCTAGGCCGCTCTGGGCTGTGAAATGTGTCCACCTCCTGCGCCGTGAGGCCCTGCTGCACATGCCCCCATTGCCCAGCTCCATTCCTCAACTGCACACCCTGAGAGTCCTGGAGTAACACAGAGCAAGTCCTCCAACCCTCCTGCTTTTCTGTCCTTCTCCTCCTGGGCAGCAGAGAGAGCCACACCTGTCCTCCAAGGGCTGCTGGAGAAAAGTCACTCAAAACACCAGGCAACAGATCGTCCTTGGACACCGGCGGACGCCCAGTGCAGAATTTCCACCTAGTCGGCCTTTCCAGCCTGGGAGCCATCCCACGCTCCTCCCACTCCTCCTCCCCTAGCTGGGAATCCCCTGCACAAGCCCAGCGAAAGGAGAGGATGCCAGTGCCAGTGCCCTCACCCCGTCCCCACATCCACACCTCCCCCTCAGAGGCAGCGCCCGGCCGAGGCCATTTTCCCTGCCAAGCCTTCCATTCCACCGCCCTGATTTATTTTCTCCATATGTCACTGCCTGGGAAGCGGCTTACTCATCATCTTCTGTTTCTATTGTCTGTCTGCTGAGCCGTCACCAATGCCCTGGAGGGAAGGGACCCGCCGTGTCCACTGGGCTCTCAGGGGCCACAGCAGGTGCCTTTGGGGACTACGTGGCACCAGACTCCTCAGATGCTCATGCCTGGGCCATGCCACCCCGCCTGTCTTGGGACCTGTTCCTTCTCATCTAGACCCCAGCAGCGGGTCTGCCGGGCCCCACCACATGGAACATGCTAAGCTGTGCTCACTCTGCAGTGCCTACGAAGGGTGGGAGAGCACGGGGTTTTCAAATGGGTCATTAGCAAGCAACAGAAAAGGAGGACAGGAAGGAAGGAAGGAAGGAAGGAAGGAAGGAAGGAAGGGAGAAAGGGAGGGAGGGAGAGAGGGAGGGAGGGAGGGAGGACAGAAGGAAGGAAGGAAGAGTCCAGCATGCCTAGTACTGGCAGATCACATGGTGACAATGAGATGACAGCCACCACCAGCCAACACCGTAGGCAGGAGGACATAGCCCGCCCTGGCTGCAGGGCCATCTCCCTCTCCTGTCCCTCAGCCAGCACACCCAGGCAGGAAGCAGGTGCAGCTGTGTTTCTTGCCACGCATCCCCAAATCTGTATGAGGATGAGGTCACAAGGGTGGGGTCCTCGTGGTGCCTCTATAAGAAGAGAAAGCACACCCAGCGTCCTCCGTCATGGTCATGACATAGCATGCAGGCTCTCCAGGGAGTTCTAGCCTCCAATTAGGAGCGAGGGAACCTTCTGTCTTCATATATTACCTGGTCTCAAATATTTGTTAGGCAACAGGAAAGAGAGAGTGGCACTCCCCAGTTACCCAGTACCCTAACAGAACAGTGGGAAGCTGGCATTCACAGATTCCTCACTGACTCTGCAGTGTGAGGGCAGCGGGTTCGTGAATAGGCCAGTTCTTCTGGGGTGCTCACAGCCCTCTCACTGAGGCCTGCTCTGCCCACTGAGGCGCCCTCCCAGGCCCCTAAGTACCTCTCACCATCCTCCTCCAAGGAGGAATTCTCCTAACCCCACTTCCACTTCCAGTCGGAACTTGAGGGGCCTAGCTCACTTGGCCGGCCCTTGTGGTCAGTATAAAAGTGGCCGCTGGCCTGGCAACTTGGCCACTGGCTTGGGGACTTGGGCACTGCCCGAGACAGGACCTGACCCGTCAGCTCCAGACGTGGCAGCAGCCACGGGGCCAACACTTCCTTAGAAACAGAGCTGTGAGAAGGACGCTGTCAAGGTCAAAGCTTCCCCCAAGCTCCTGACTGAACTGTGAGCAACAGGGGCGGAGCAACAGGGGCATGAGGACCTACACCTTATGGCCCCATGCCTGGCTCCACCTCCCACTTGCAGCCCTGTGTAGCCCCGGACTGACATGGGGCAAACCCCCAGCCGGCCCTGTGGGGCCAGGTTTCTTCCTGTGTTAAGTGAATAACCCTCATTCTGTCGCTTCCATTCATAGCACACACTGCATTGAGGGCAAACCTTTCAGAGACCGAGTGTCCAACCGGGAACCCACTTACACAGATAACAGAGTCTTAGACCCCAACTAAACCTGAATACTGAGGTTTTAGTTTGGACAAAAACAACTCACATATGAATGTCGTTTGTCTTAAAAGAAAAACAAGTAACACACATGCCATAGATTCGCCACCACGGTGCGAGATGACTTTTTTCCTTTATACATCTTGGGCAGAGACTCAAAGGCTGGAAGACTGCAGGGAAAGCGAGGGTTTTGCATGGAGTTATGAAGGGTTATGGGTAACCACCAAACCCCAGAGCACAGCCGTCAGAAGCTGCGTGTGTAAAGGCAAAGTTGGACGCACCAGGGTGCCTGGAGGGACCCACCAAGGACAAGGGACCGCACCCTGTCCACCAGCCCCTCCCCTCTTCCGGCCTTTCGGGCTGAGCTAGCTCTTCATGCTGAGCTAGCTCCTCACCTGGAGCTGGGGATGGAAAGAGAGCATCTGGGCTGGCCCTGGCTGCCTGGAGGCCTGGGGATCAAGCACACCCTCCTCCTTCCCCTGCATTGCTGCAGAGTGGGGGTGGGGTGGGTGGGTGGTCTGCAAACACCTCAACCCTCTGAGAGTTCTGGCAGGACTGGGGGGGGGGGGGGGAGGCCACTGAAGGCCAGCTGCCTGGAAGTCACCATTGATTCCAGGGCAGAGATTGGAAGTCACCAGATGCATTTTGTTCTCCTAGGACACATGAGGGTGTCCGGACTCCCAGAAGCGGGGAAAAGCAATTGTAACTGCTCTGCTGGAAGAAACTAAAAATACTCCTCCAGATTCTTGGTGTACAAACCTGGGATAAATAGAGCTTTGAGAGACTAAAGTCGCCTTGCGACTGTGAGTGTCCTTGAATGCCCTTCAGCACCGACTGACCCCACAAAGCCTCCCCTCCCCCTCCAGGGTGCAGTGGGACAGCAGGGAGCTTCTGGTGGGCTGGCCTCCTTAGCAGCCTGCCTTCCCTGCCCTGCCCAGGCCGGCTCCTGGCTGGCCCTCCCACACCAACGGGGCAGAGGCAGGCTGAGCCGGGGCTGAATCAGTTCTGCTTACTTTGTGCTCTCACCTCTTTCTCTGAAGTTCTGTTTTTATCTGACACAAGGAAATGCGATTCTAAGCTCCATGCGCAAGTTTCTCCCCAAAGTGCTGCCTCCCAAACACTTGGAACACCCCACTCACCTGTGTCCTGCCTTCCTCTTAGAGTTTCAAGCTCGGAGGAGTCAGAAAGGGAGGTGAGCCGAGCCGGAACGCGGAGGAGAGACCAGGCCACTCGGCCGTCGTCATTCTGCCACCTCCAGGGTCAGCCCCAAGGTCCCAGGTCAGGTGGCTGCTCTGGGGACAAGGCAGGCTGGGCCAGCTGCAAGGGTTATCGGGCAAAGCACCCCTCTACCCAGGGCGGGGGCCTGGCTAGTGCTGGACCCGTCTGCGAGCCCTGGGCGCTGCTCCTTCCCTGGCTGCACCGAGCCCCAGCTCTGAACAGGTGCCCTGAGGCCTTCAAGATACTCCCGGAGTGCGGACCCCCGTTTTCTCAGGTTCTGCCTTTCCATTTGTTGGACACTATTAAAGAAGTTTGGGGGTTTGTTTTTATTTTTTCCAGAACAAAAGTAGCTGTAGGTCGCTGAGTGCACCGAAGCTCTGAGCCGCTGGCCCCTGAGACTGCAAAGGAGGGGCGGGTGGGACTCAGGCGTGGCTTCCGTCCTGCACCTGGGACCGCGAAGGTGCAGACAGAAAGCCAGGTGGGGTTCCCTGCAAGGGCAGACAGACGTTGAGCTGGGGACTGGGGATACTGTGTCCCCTCGGCTGGGCAGGGCGCGGGAGCCTCCCGCAGTACTCCCCGTTCCCGGCAGAGGGCGCGCCGGCGGGCTGACAGCGCGGGCGGGCTCCGGCGGCCCGCGCCCCTGACGTCACCTTCCCCGCGGTCGCTATGGCGACAGCCTCTCCGGCGCGCGCGTCAGAGCCCCAGTTTCTTGGCAACCGCCCGATCTCCGCTCCCCCCGCCTGGCGCTCGGCCGCGCGTCGCTCTGGCGTCAAAGCGACGTCAATGGGCCGTGTCGGGCGGGGCGGGGCGGGGCGGGGCCTCCGGCGGCGCGGGGCGGGACTTCGGGCGGGGCGGGGCGGAGTGCGCGAGCGGCCGGCGGGCGGCGGGCGGCGGGCGCGGACATGCGGCCGGGCTCGGGAGGCGGACGCAGCGGCGGCGGCGCGAGCAGCGAGTGCCAGGGCAGCGCAGGCGGCGGAGCGGGCGGCGGGGACCGCGGGACCCGGTGAGGGTGAGCGGTGGCCGGGGCTATGCGGGGGCGCGGCGGACCCCCTTTGTTGCGGGGCGGGAGAGCAGGTCCGCGCCGGAGGGGACGCGGCGACCCTGGCTCTGGTGGTCGGCGCGCCACGCAGAACGGGGGAGTCCCGGGGACGGGACTGGAACCGACAGGTGGGGGACCACGCGGGAATCGGGCGAGGGCGTCGGGACGGGCCGATCCCGGCTCCGGGGCTGCGGGAGCGGGTCGGGGGCCGGCAGGAGGGGTCCCAGGTCGGGGCGGCCCGCTGAGCGCCCCTCGCCGCGCGCCCCTAGGTGCGATCCGCAGCCATGGTGATCATGTCGGAGTTGAGCGCGGCCCCGGCCGGCCCCGGCCAGAGCCAGCAGAAAACCCTCCGCGTGGGCTTCTACGACGTGGAGCGCACCCTGGGCAAAGGCAATTTCGCGGTGGTGAAGCTGGCCCGGCATCGAGTCACCAAAACGCAGGTGCCTGGGGCGACAGTAACCCGGAGGGACTGCACGGGGCAGGGAGCCTGACCCGGGGGCTGGACTCGGGCAGATTAGGGCTTGCAATCATCCTGTGAACTCAGACTGGCTAGGGTTTAGTTTTTTAAAATGCTTTGTGTTATGTTAGTGCATAATTTGTACAAATGTTAGGGAACCAGAGAACGGCAAAGAGAATAATGACCAAAAAATCCCCCAAAGCCAAACAACTAGAGTGCTCTAGTTCCTGGATTCAGAGCTCAAGCCTTGTAGTGAGCTTACAAGTCTTCCAGGCGTTTTTTATCTTTGATTCCTTGAAATAACATTCGTGGTTACTTTAGGAATTTTCTCCCTAACTTTTTGTGACCTTTTGGAGACATAAAGTGAGAAATTTGAACGTAAAAAAAAATGAAATGTGTAAACAAGGTGGGTTTTTTTTTCCTTAACAAACCATCTCTTTTGTTTTAAAAATCTCTAGGTTGCAATAAAAATAATTGATAAAACACGATTAGATCCAAGCAACTTGGAGAAAATCTACCGTGAGGTCCAGCTGATGAAGCTGTTGAACCACCCCCACATCATCAGGCTGTACCAGGTGAGGCGGGCCCTGTGTGTGCCTGCGTGTGTACACCGCGTGCCTGCAGGTGGCTCTGTGGCACAATGCTGTGCTCCACCCCCTAGGTCTGCCCTTGCTGAAGGGTACCCCATCTTCTGTGTGTGTGGCAAAAATCAGCATGTGGGTTGTAGGAGGTAAATAGATTGATCTTTGTAAATGTGCAGACGTGTTTACAATTATTGTCCTGCTCTTGGATCCTAATTGAGATCAGCTTCATTAAACTTGTATCTGGTATCGTAATTTGTTCCAGTTTCAAATTCGTGGCTGTCTGGCGTTGGGGCAGCTCTGCTGAGAGCACTCACGTGGGCAGCAGTGCCTCCGGTCAGGCAGTTGGTGCAGAAGGGCAAAACTAGAAACTTCTTGTCTTCCCAGACAGTTGTTAAACTTAAAATTGGCCGCTGCTGCCAGTTTCCCTTAACTTCTCTTTGCCGAGGCAGCAGGGAGCATTGGTCTTCGCTTTGTGACTCCTTGGAGCAGTGGGGAGAGATGACAGTGCTTTGATGGAAGGGCTAGGAACTGCCTTGTCCTGTCCCTTCTGTTTGTTGGCTTCCTGACTTGGGGTTCTTGTGTGGTTCTTGTTTCACTGTTAACATACTGATTGTGTCTTGCAAACGAGATGTTAGCCCAGTAGGGCAGTCTTTCTTATTCATACCTCCCGTGGCTCAGTGACCACCTTGGTCTATCCCCGAGGAAGGCATTTGTAAATCCCTCCCCTTCCATGTGTCTGTGTTGGTTGCCCCTTCCCCTCCATGACTCCCTCCAAGCCACGTAAATCAAGTTGATTACGAAGATTCGTGTGATCCGCCAGTGCTGTAGGAGAGGGAATTGTAATTTAAAATTATCCCTGGCAGGTTCTTCCACTCAGGTCAGATGAAGCAGTGCCTCTGGAGAGCCAGCTGCCCCTGCCCTGACAGTCCTCATGGCTACTCACTGGGGTTGGGGTTTGTGTCTGGGTCCCTTTCAAGTTGTGCTTGGAGATAAGGAGATACAGCACTTCCTCTGCAGCGGCCACTCTGTCCCTCCGAGCCTGAGCCTGTGCCTCCCCCATTATCACTGAGAGCAGGGTCCAGTGGGCTCCGTTAAGGAGACACAGGGCTCCTGTGGGTGATGTCTGAGGTAGCCCCTGGCTGTGACATTCTAGCTGCTCCCCTAGGTGACTCCTGGCTGTTGAGTGGATTGGGTGGGATAGTGGCGGCTGTGAGTCCTTTGCTTTGCTCCCTGGTTGGTGTCTCATGCTGGTTCCGCTGGTGCCGGCCCCAGAACCTTGTGAAGATGCTTCATCCTTCCCTTTGGGAAGTTTTCAACATTTTAAATACACAGGTCCTTCCGTTACCTCTTTCTATGTCTCTCAGTCAAGAAAAGGAGTAAGTCTTCATGGGCAGTTAAAATTCTGGCTAAGTGGAGAGAATTTTAATAACATTTCTTACTACATTTATGACTCTAAGCTCTTGTCTTGAAAATGCCTCTTTGGTGGTGTGGCCCAGTGATAGAGCTTGTGCTTAGCTCATGCAGGGCTCTGGGTTCAATCCCAGCACAAACAAAACAAATAAAAATGTCTCTAAAAGGACTACCTATATTTTGAGTACCCCAAAATATTTTTTATAGGATTTCCATAATCTGGACTGGGCTATAGCTTAGCAGCACAGTGCCTGCCTGGCAAGCACAAGGTCTTAAGTTCGATTTCTGATATAAAACAAAAAAATTTCCATAATCTTAGTCTATCATGTGATTGTCTCTCTTTCTCTGAAATATTTTATGATACACGCAGACATGAGTTTGTTTCACTACTTTTCGGTACCAAAGATTGAGATTTTACCTTCTTAGTTACTTTTTAAATCATTTTAAGAGAATGTAAAATTCCCCGATCCACAAATGAACTTTTAAGAACATTAACCTTGACCTGGCTGTTGACACACACCAGGTGATTTGCTGGCCAGAGTGGCGTGCGGTAGCTGACCTGGTGAAGCTGATTTCTTGCAGCCTAGTACCTTGGCAGCAAATGGGAACAGGTGTTTGTTAGTGCTCTGTCTGTTGTGGCCGAAATCCCCCTTAGCTGTGCTAGGCTGCTTGTGCAAGGTGCAAGGGACTCCGGTGTCCCCATCCTGCATCTGGGTACGCTGACAGTCCTGGACAGTGCAGATGGACTTGACAACGGCCTGAGCTCACTGAGGGCCGAGGTATGTCGGGAACTCTCTCCAGGTAGCAATCCCCGTGTTTCTTTAGGCTTTCTTCCTTTCCCTTTTTTTCACTGGTGAACACGTGTTTTCTGGAGAAGTTAAAGGTTTACTGGGTTCCGGTGGATTACTTACACCATTGGTATGCATGCCCCTTCCTCGTGGGGTTAAATGTTAGTTTTGCTTTGTTTTTTAGGTTATGGAAACCAAGGACATGCTTTACATTGTGACTGAGTTCGCAAAGAATGGAGAGATGTTTGGTAAGCCAGGCTTGCTTCTCATGGCTGCGGAAGCCACAGTGCCTACCTGGGAGCACCCTCTCGCCCACACGGGTCCTCACACCCTGTGGGCCTGCACCCCTCCCCTCCTGCACCCCAACTGGTGCCAAGGTTGCATCCAGGACTTAGAACTTGGCTTTGCCGCTCTGCAGATTACCTGACCGCCAATGGGCACCTGAGTGAGAAGGAAGCGAGGAGGAAGTTCTGGCAGATCTTGTCAGCCGTGGAGTACTGCCACAACCACCACATAGTGCACCGGGACCTCAAGACGGAGAACCTGCTGCTGGACGCCAACATGGATGTCAAGCTGGCAGGCAAGCGTGGCTGCTGGGGCCGGGGGACTGGGCACCCACAGCCGCAGCTCCTGCCGTTTCCAGACTCACCCTGTCCATCTGCTTCTTTGTACTGCAGATTTTGGATTCGGGAATTTCTACAAGCCCGGAGAGCCTCTGTCTACGTGGTGTGGAAGCCCCCCGTATGCAGCCCCTGAAGTCTTTGAGGGCAAGGAGTATGAAGGCCCCCAGCTGGACATCTGGGTAGGAGCTTGGGTGCTGCCCCCGCTGCCTACACCCGTAGTCCACGGAGCATGCTGGGTACTGATCCCATGGTTTGATTGTTGTCCTCAGAGCCTGGGCGTCGTCCTCTACGTCCTCGTCTGTGGTTCTCTCCCTTTCGACGGACCCAATCTGCCAACACTGAGGCAGCGGGTGCTGGAGGGCCGCTTCAGGATCCCCTTCTTTATGTCTCAAGGTGGGTGCCACTGAGCCCACCCTGGGGACTGCTGGGTGAGCCATTGGAGACAGAGGGAGGGGACGAGCGATGGGGCTCTGTAGTGCCTGCTTGGCTGCTGTGACTCTGGGCCAGAGCCAGGGACTCGTCCAGGTGACTGGGCTCCAGGGAAACCTGACCCCCAGGTGCCTTCTCGGTGCCCTACTTAGGGGCTGGCAGGTGCCTCCTGAGAGCCATTTCTCGGTCATTAACATGGCCAAGCCATGGCCTGTCCTCATCTGCGTCATGCCAGGGTGGGAGTTGTGCCTGCACCTTCAGAAGGACCGGCCCGAGTCCTCCCTGGGGCCAGGACTAGGGCTGCTCCCCGGCTGAGTGGCAGTGGCACAGGCGATGGTTGCAGCCTCCTGCAGGGCATTCCACATACATGTGGGTGGCCTGTCCGTGGCGCCCACCGTACTGGGGCTCAGCGGGTGCCATCTCCCTGCAGACTGCGAGATGCTCATTCGCCGTATGCTGGTGGTGGACCCTGCCAAACGCATCACCATTGCCCAGATCTGGCAGCACCGCTGGATGCAGGCCGACCCCACCCTCCTGCAGCAGGCTGACCCTGCCCTCTCCATGCTCGGTTACACCTCCAACCTGGGCGATTACAATGAGCAGGCGCTGGGCATCATGCAGGCGCTTGGCATCGACCGGAAGAAGACCGTGGAGGTGAGCGTGGCTGTGTGGGCAGTGGTGAGCAGGGGCGGTGCAGGTTAATTCAAGGGCCAGCTTGTCCCTCTAGGTCATAACCTGGGAATGGCCTTCCCCAGGGAGCCGCAGGCGTGGCGATGGACGCTGTGTGACCCGCCCCCGCTTCTTTCTCCCCAGTCGCTGCAGAACAGCAGCTATAACCACTTTGCTGCCATTTACTACCTCCTGCTCGAGCGCCTCAAGGAACACCGAGGCGCCCAACCACTGGCCCGCCCCGTACCCACTCGGCAGCCCCGGCCCAGGAGCTCGGACCTCGGTGGTCTGGAGGTAAGGGCACACTCCTGCAGCCACACCTGATCGGTCTGTCCTCCTAGCTGGGTAGCCCTTGCTCAGGCCCGGGAGTGAGGCACAGGCTGTGCCCTTCCTTGGGGGCCCCCGCAGGTAGGCAGCAGACCACCTGGCAGTGGAAGAAGAGGGTGCTGGCTGTGCCATCCTGCAGTGCTGCCTCTTCCCTGCCTGTTCCCAGCACTGGCATCTCTGGGCCCACTGGTTACCCCCGCTTGCCTGCATGTGGCCGTGGACAGGGTGCAGGTCCTGAACCCAAGTGGAATCTGTCACAGATCTCAAAGCCATCTTGGTCTTTCTGTGCCCCCTGCCCCCCGCAGTCATCACAGGCATGGCCTCCCTGATGGTCTCTCTTCTTTGGCTCTAGGTGCCTCCTGAAGGCCTCCCCATCGACCCTTTACGGTCCTCCCTGCTATGCCCGCAGCCCCAGGTCTTGGTGCAGTCCGTCCTGCAGGCTGAGATGGACTGTGACCTTCACAGCTCATTGCAGGTGCGTGACTGTTCCCAGCCATTCGTCCTCCACAGCATGCCCACACTTGCGGGGCCTGGGGGATCACCGCCTTGTGTCCCTCCTCCACAGCCCCTGTTCTTCGCGGGAGACACCAATGGCACCGGCATGTTCCCGCACCGCTCCATCTCCCCCAGCAGCCTGCTGGACACAGCCATCAGCGAGGAGGCCAGGCAGGGGCCCAGCCTGGAGGAGGAACCCGAGGTCCAGGAGCTCCTGCGGGGCAGCACAGGCCGCAGGCACACACTGGCCGAGGTCTCCACGCACTTCTCTCCCCTCGCCCCACCCTGTAAGTGTCTCTGAGGGCCCAGTGCATGGGCCAAGATGATCTTTTTGCCTGTCTGAAACCGCGTAGTCATACTAGTTCACACACCTGCTCATTCTGGTGGAAAGGGCACCCCAGGCCGCCCCCACTTGGGTCTGCACCCATGGATCATCTGCCGTCTGTACCTGCACCCTCACGCTGGCCCGTGATGTCTCTGGGCTCCGGCAGCCTAGAGACAGCACTGGACGCCCACAGTTGTTCACATCCACCAGTGCCTCGGGCACCCCGCAGCCTGTCCCCTACTTCCCTCTGTGGTCTCGGAGATGGGGCTGCCCTCACAAGCTGCTCTCTCCCACCGCAGGTATCGTCGTGTCCTCCTCTGCCTCGGCAGGGACCTCGGAAGGAACCAGCTCCGACAGCTGTCTGACCTTCTCTGCAGGTGAAGGCCCTGCTGGGTTCAGCGGCGGCCTGACCACCCAGGGGCTGCTGGGCACCTGCTCTCCAGTCAGAATGGCCTCGCCTTTCCTGGGGGCACAATCGGCCACCCCTGTGCTGCAGGCTCAGGGGGGTCTGGGTGGAGCTGTCCTGCTGCCCGTCAGCTTCCAGGAGGGACGGAGAGCATCGGACACGTCACTGACGCAAGGTGAGGTTTCTGCCATGCCTCCCCCTTCCTAGGGAGAATTCTGCCCCTGGCAAAATCTCTGTCCTCAGTGGCAGGTGGTGTGTACCACACTGTCTATTGGTCCTGCTCGTGGGACAGCTGTGGGTGCCACCTGGGTCCTGGGCATTCTGGCTACTAGGGTGGACGCAAAGTATAGCCCCCAAGCATGGCTGGTGACTTTGATTGGCTGGGTGAATCTGCGGGGATGGCTGTGTTGAGCAGTGCCCCAGGCCCACAGGAATGCTGGGGTCAGGGAAGGAACCCCCACAAAGCAGCACCACCCTCAGCTGGCGGCCTAGGTGCCCTGTATGCTGCCCCAGGGGTCAGGGTACCTGTGTGTCCCCTGCGTCCATGCAGAGTCCCATGCCCCGCTCACACCCCCTTCCATAAAGAACCTGACTTAGCAGCAGCTGCTCAGGGCTGGAATCATTGTCCCCAATCTCAGAAGGTGCCGGGTGGCCCAAGGATGAGGCAGCATTAGAAGGGTCATTGTGACAGGGCCACCCACCCTTTAAGGGAAGCAGGATGGTCCATGGGTGCTGGTCCCACGTGCATGGCTGGTCCCCTTTGTTCCTCACCCACTGACCCCGACCTTGCTTCCGCAGGGCTGAAGGCCTTCCGGCAGCAGCTGAGAAAAAATGCGAGGACCAAAGGGTTCCTGGGACTGAACAAGATCAAGGGGCTGGCGCGCCAGGTGTGCCAGGCCTCCTCTAGCCGAGCATCCAGGGGTGGCCTGAGCTCCTTCCACGCCCCTACACCAAGCCCCAGCCTGCAGAGTGGCGGCTCTGGTGGTCGCGAAGGCAGAAGCCTGCTGGAGGATGTGCTGCACCAGCAGAGGTAGGCCACAAGTGTCCCCCCGCCCTGCACCAGGTCCCCAGGGCCTGGGGGCTCCATCACTGTGGACCTGCTGGTCCTTTGGAGCCTGTGAGTGGGCGGGGGGCAGTGGTGAACCTGTTCGGAGGCATCTCTGAGTCATCACTGAAGCATTGGCAGGATGGCCCAGTAGTTGCCACCCACAGATGTGGGGTGGATCAGACCCGAGCCCTGTCCGTCTGTCCCACAGGCTGCTCCAGTTACAGCACCACCCAGGCAGCCCTCCCAGCTGCCCTCAGGCCCCGCAGCCACCTCCCGCCCCAGCCCCATATGTGCTGGCTCCCTGTGACGGCCTCCTGGTGTCGGGGCTCCCACTGCTGCCAGCGCCCCTCCTGCACAGCGGGACATCCCCCGTGACATCAACTGCACAGCTCCTGGACACCCAGCTGCACATCAGCTCCAGCCCCGCCACCCTCCTCCCTGGGGCCCTGGCTCCCTGCTTTGCCAGGCTGGCCCCGGGCTGCGACCCCTCTGGGCGGCTGCAAGGGGACTGCGAGATGGAGGATCTGACATCTGGCCAGCGGGGCACGTTCGTTCTGGTGCAGTGAGGACAGTCCCGCCACGTCCAGCTGGCTCTTCCAAGCAATAATTTCAGAGTATGTGAAGATGTTTTTGGACTCAAAGCCAAGAACTTTCTAGAAGTGAAACAAGCAATACGCGTTAGGTGTGTGGGCTTTTTAGTTCATTTTTTTTGTTGTTGTTTTACTGTTTTTCCTTGCACTGAGTGACCTCAACTCCGAGTAGGGACTGGAAACTGAAGACAAAGGGAGGTGTGTCGTGCAGGTGGGCGGTGGGGGACGCGGGATAGGTAGGACCTCTGGCTGCGAGGCTCGGGCCACAGGGCAGGGGCTCAGGCCCTTCATCCAGGGCCGTGTCGGGAGCTGACGGCCTTGGGTGTCCCCTGGAGAGGTCTGAAGCATGTGCGTGCGTGCGTGGGTCTGGATCCTTTTGGTTTTAGTTGATGGTTCTCCACTTCGGGAAACATTCATGCTTCAATGGAAACTGTGAACTTGCTGCTTCATGCGTGGATTGGCGGCATCCCCCGGCTGCCCAGAAAGGGGACACAGGATGTTGGTGTGGGAGCTGTGTGCGCAGCTCAGGTGTCTGCTTTCTAGCACCTTGTGGAGGAACCAAGGGAAGGACCAGAACACGGTGGCCAGGGCTGCGGCTCAGTCCCAGGGACGCTTGGCCAGGAGGAAGCCAAGAGCTTTCTTCCTGCTGCGCATCTCGTTTCCGCTGCTAATCAGAGTTTTATGCATTTCATCATCAGGGTCCAACCAGAACACCTGACCTGGAGGGTGGTGCAGGGCTGAGGCTGTGCCGGTCGCCAGCCCCTCCCTGCAGCTGCCCACTGGGGACTTCCCAATGCCATAGGCCTGGCACCCTGGCCCACCCTCTGGGTGTCTGGTTTTCATTCAAGGAAGATGGGACGGGAAGCTTAGGTTGGTGTTTATAAAGCTGTGTCTTTTTTTAAGCAAAAGCTGTGTATGGGTATAAATAGGAGACCATAGACACTACTTACGTTTTATATTTTGTATTACATTTTTGTGTTCCTGGGTTAAACCTCCCTCTCGGTCACCCTGCTGGAATGTCCTAGTTTGCTGAGAAAGGGGCCCAGCCACCCCATCAGCACTGGGGATGCAGGGCAGGGGCAGCCAGACCTCAGTGGCCACTGCCGTGTCCTGCCTGCTGTGAACCAGGTCCCCAGCCCCTCACTCAGGTGCCTTTGCTTCTGTGGCTCTCGCAGCCTGCAGTATTACCCGGGGCCACAGAGTTGGGCAAAGGCGGGACTTTTCAAAAAGCCAAAGATTGACCGAGTTACCTAAGGGCAGGGAAGAGGCCCCCACGTGTTGCTGGGGCGTCGAGATGCGGTCCCCTTCTGCCAGCCACCTGTGGCCTCTACGCATGTACCGAGCTCCGTGCTGCTTTGTGGCTGCTTAGGGAGGCGTGGAGGGCTGTCCTCGAGGGGGCGGACCCGACACCCCACCGCAGAGAAGACACCAAAGTCCCCTGCTTGCCTCCTCAATGTCCTGCTGCCACCTGCCTTCACCTGCAGGTGACGGCGCGCAGACCTGCTCTCGTGAGCCCCTGGCCAGCCCGTTCCCACACCACAGATCAAAGGCTTCGCGCCCCCGTGTTTCTCTCTGAAGCAGCAACAAGCACTTTACTTTCCTAGCGATTTTTGTTTCTTAGCACTGTAGACCTCTCCCGGAGGACGGGAAAGCCGTGTTTTTATTTCTCGGGTTTTTTAGGCGTGTGCGGTGTTTTGTAGATTTCTCGCCAGCGCGGTTCTGCAGACCCCCACGGGCGCCTATTTAAAGACACTACGTGGTCTGGTGGAGTTGTATATAATTCTTTTTTTATTACCATACCTGAATTGTTTTGTTCCTGATGTTAACGTGAGAGATGTATGCCAAATGATTAGATGATGTATGTTTTTTTAACTTAATATTTAAATAAAATATTTGGGGGAAAAGACTCGGACGTCTTCCCTGGATTAGTCTGTCCGAAAGCACCATCCTGCTCTGAACCACTCAGCCTCGAGTCCACGGATGTTCCCGCTCTTCTAGACAGCACAGCAACAGTTACCGCTGGGCTATGGGCACCTAGGTCTTTCCCCGCCCCAGCCCCACGGGGCATTGGCGCGCCCCGACACCCCAGCCTGCATCCGTCCAGTGCTGCAGGCTCCGCTTCCCTCCTTCTCTTGGATGTTCCCTGAGTCCACAGAGAAATCTAGAATTTGGAAGAATCCTAGCAGAACTTTTTCCTGGGTCTCTGAAAGCTTATACCTTCCAGCCGTCAGGCAGGCACAGCCTCTTAATGTTAGGTTCTTTGGGGGTAAAAATAAAGCTTTTCAACCCTTCACACTCTGACAGCTGTGGGAGCCTAGAAACAACATGGTTCCCATGTGCCACGGTGATTTTGCCACTGGGTCTGCACCCCAAACGCCGGAAGCAGGGTGTCTCAGCGCCTGGCACTGTGTGTAGCAACACAGTTCCTGGCAGTCCAAGGGTAGAGGCTATCTGGTCTCCCACTGATGACCAATGATGGGAGGACATGGTGCGTCCCCATGAAAGAGGCTGACCACATAGACAGTGCACCTAGAGGGCACTGCTCAGTGGAGAAAGCCAGGCGTAATGCACAGGTACGATTCCATCCTTGAGGGATTTAGGGCAGCGGGCAGGAGTTGGGCCAGGAAGGGCCATGTCTAAAGGGCTGGTTTCAGTCTGGGGTGAGCAGAGGGTGCAGAGGTGGGCAGAGGCAGTAGCTACACAGCTGCGTGAAGGTGAGGACGGCCACCATGGGCAGTGAAGCTCTGCAGGGCTGCCAGCGTCCTGGAACTGGAAATGTGGAACAGAGGGTCCAGGGGGTCCCAGCCCTCCTGTGTCAGGGCAGGATTGCACCCAAGTGTCCACCTGTGACTCAGTCACCTGTCAGTCCCTTTGGACAGAAAGACCCAAGCTCATATACAGGGGGAAGGCCCAGCCAGCCCCAAAGAGGAGCCGAAGTTGTACCTCTCAGCATCAGTTCAGGAGAGCAGTCCAACTCGGGGTATCCCTGTGGCTTCCTGGTATCAGCTGACCACAGTCTAAGGATGACTACTTAGAAGGAACCTCTGTATCGTTTGGGAACACAGTGTTGGAAATTAGCAAGGTCTCGTGCAAAACCTTGAATTTGTCCCTCAAGCTCTTGCATTTGGATTTGTCTCTTGTGAGTACCACGCTGAGTACCACTGGCTGGGCAGGTGGACAGGCGGGTAGGCGGGCAGGCATCTCAGCTGCCAGGATGCGTGCAACAAGGGTGAGGTGGTGAGGGTGCTTAGAATTCACCCAGCCCTGGAGGAAGGAGCCTCACAGAAACTTGGGAGTACTCCAGCGCTCCGCCCTGGGCTCCTCCAAGCACCTGTCCAGTCCCACCAGGGAGGAGCCTGCGTAGCTCTGGCAGTGGGCGGGCGAGGTCCCCTGTTATGCAGGCCTCATGCCTGCCTCCAGGCTCCTTCCCCAGCCCTGCCCGTGTCTGTGCTGCCAGCACTTCTCCAGATGTTTACCTGGGGGTGTGTCGGCTTCTGCTGGGGACCGGCACACCCTGAGCTGCCCTTCTGTGCAATGGGGTGCTGATCCCCCTGGCAGGGGGCCAGGGTAACCTGGGGCAGCGACAGCTGCTGAGCGATCAGGCCCTGCCTGTGTCCTCATCTGTATGGAGCGGGCCTGCCTGGCCCAGTCCCAGAGGTGTCATGGCAACCAAGCAAAAGCAAGGCGGCCTCACTGTCACAGTAATCTGTGTCCCAGCTCTGCACCCCCGGTCCTGTAACTCGTCTGGGCTCGCCTGAGCATTCCTCTCTTCTTCCTTTTCGACATGGGATCTTGCTATGCAGCCTAGCCTAGCCTCATGCTTGGCACCCTTCTGCCTCAGCTTCCTGGGTGTCAGGTTCACAGGTGTCCACCAACATGCCTAGCTCAGCCGTCTTGTTTTCTGGATAAAGCACATAGCCATGATGCCCACTTCTGAAGGCTGCTGGACACTGAGGTCTTATGGAACACAGCCCCTTGTCTGGTGCCCAGTGAGCATACCCAGAAGACCATGATGTCCTTGGTCTTGATGCAGGGTTATCTTGTGGGCTGTGACCTTGATCCAGGGTAATTTTGTGGGCCATGACCTTGATCCAGGGTTATTTTGTGGGCTGTGACCTTGATCTAGGGTTATCTTGTGGGCCATGACTTTGATCTAGAGTTATCTTTTGGCGTGTGACCTTTATCTAGGGGTATCTTGTGGGGTGTGACCTTAATCCTGGGGCATCTTGTGCATGCCATGGTCCTGGGTGGTGTGATGGAAGTTTCTCGAAGGCCCAGCTGTGGGGGGCCCAGGATCACACCCTTTGCTCTCAGCTGCCCTGGGAGCTGGGAGAGGGGAACAGAAACCGGAAGGGCTGGCCTGTGGGCATCTGTACGGGTAGAACAGGGGCTGAGGGAGGAGGTGGCGGGGGGGGGCAGAGGGGCAGGGGGACCTGGTTCACTCTCAGTCTTCCGGGGATCGGCTCTGTCTCAGACCCCTTTATTAGCATTACTTCACATATTCGAGTGTGATTTCTGTAAAAAACCCAAAGGACTGAAAAACACACAGGAAACCCAGGTGGAGGAAGCCCTCGTCTTCCCCTTTCACTCTGAGGAGGAAGCTGGTGGCAGGGGTTTTCTCTGCAGTCAGCGAGAAAGGTCCACTTCTTCACCCGCAATGGGTCCCTTCCTTCCACAGGTGGAGGCTGGGGACGGGCTCTAGTGGCAGTGAGGAGACCGAGCCTCCATGCAGGAAGGCCGCCACCCCCCAAGAAGGTGGCCCCAGTGCCCTGTGGCAGCAGGGTGTGCATGGAGAAGTTAGCGTGCGAAGTGTCTGTCACCAGAACCCCTCCCTCTGTCCCTCCACTGTCCCGTGGGCTGGTTTGGAATGGAAGCAGTGTGTGTGCTCCAAGGGTTTGGCCTAGTGAGGTGGAGATTCATCCATGTGGCATGTGTCACCACCTCGTCCTCTGCTGACAAGCAATGCTGGCAGCCTGGATCACATATATACATCCACTCCCCTGATGGTGGTGGCACCCGCAGTGCAGCAAATGGCAGTGTGGACCCACGGTGGGACCCATGTCCCAGCACGGACATGTGGGTTGCTTCCAGCTTGGGCTCTTATCCAGGATGCCACCGTGGATGTTTGCTGAGGAGTCTGCGGGGGCCCCTCTGCCTCTCCTGAGTCACAGGGGTCAGAGGGCAATGGCCAGATCCCTGGAATGCCACCTGTCCACTGGAGAATGCACACCATCCCTGGGGTGGCTGCATTGGTTCCAGGCAAAGCCACCCTTCTGGTTTCCACCCTCCCCAACACTTGGAAGCCCGGCGTCCTCACAGTCAATAGTGGGGTTGCCTTAGGCTTCTAACTTGCATTTACTAACATCTTTCAATGGGCTGTTACCATCCTGGTTTTCACACTTATCTGAATTTGCATGCATGTGTGTGTGCTAGGAATTGAATCCAGGACTTTAAGCCATTGCTGAGTGTGTGCTGTGCTACTGAGCGACAGCCTCTGCCCCATACCAATTTTTAATTGGGTGGTTTGAAATCTAACAATAGACTTGTAGGGGCTTTTGTTTGTTTTTGGCACTGGGAATCGAACTCATGACTTCACGCTTACCAGGCAGGCACATATGGCACTGAGCTAAATCCCCAGCCCGGGTGCAGGATATAGTCTGTATAGATTGTCAATATAGTCTGTCCAGAAATCTCTGTTATAGGGGGATGTCTGTGTGTACCCATATATTTCTATGTATGTGCCCAGAAAGGGAAAGCCTCCCTCAATTTATGGCTTGCTTTTCATTTGAAGAATGAAGAGCTGAAAGTTTTAATGAACCTATCTTATAAATTTTTATGAATTCTAAACTTATCATTTTATACCTTGATGGTTATTGCTTTTAGTGTCTTATCCATGAAATCCATGTCTACCTTAATATTCTCCAAAGTGCTTTTGTGTTCCAGGTTCTCTGCATTTGCATAGAGCCTGTCAAATTCTCCAAAATGACTTGACTATATATTTGTGTAGAACCTGTATCACTTCTCCCTTAAATGTTTGATGGAATTCATCACCAAGGCACTGGGGGCTGGAGTTACTTGGTGAGATGGTTTCAAATTCCAAATCCACTGTTTTGAGAATGATTTAAAACTGTTCGGATTTCCTATTTTGGTTCTGTGTGAGCTTTCTAAGTTCACAGGGGGTTAGGGCGTCACCGAACTGCCCACCTGCACTGCATTTTGTAGACTGGTGTTCTTAGGAGATTCATTTTTAGGAAGACGGCAACAGAAATGTGAGAAGCTCTAACAAATGCAGCAGACTGCATCTGTGGGTGTGGAGGTAAGGACACAGCACAACCCTGGCCCTGGAAACAAGATGGGAGCAGACCCTTCCAGATGCCCAGGCCTGGAGCAAAGGCCAGCAGGGTCCATTCTCAGGGCTCAGGTTGTCCCAGCTCCTCCCAGCAAATCTCAGTGGCCTGACTGAGCTCTGGAATGGCACTCAGCCCATTTCTTCCTCCGCCAGGATGACGCAGCAGCAGCTGCAGGTGCCCAGGTGTCCAAGAACCCACCAAGGGCTATCTCCGGCTCCGCAGGACATGGCTTAGAGGACACCGGAAACCATGAGCCACTGTGATTTTTCATTGCGAGGCTCATGCAGTGACACAGGCAGCCTGGCTCGTGCCCTGTGTAAGTCACTTCCTGCTGTGAGTGCAGGTGCCTCAGCCTGGGTTCCTATTCTGGCCCTAAGTGACCCTGCTGTCCATCTTGATGACCCCAAAGGACAAGTGGGAGAATTAAAGGTGCTTTGTGCAGAGCCAGCCATCCCTGTGGGAACAGGGCTGCCTGCCCACCGTGTGGGCAACCGTCAGCCTTACTGGGCCACACCAGGGCCAGCCAGATCCCGGGGCAGCTGCTGCTGAGGTCCTG